CCCCCCCCACTTCTCGTATTTTCCCATATTTTCTGGGAATCGACGATTAATTGTGTGTTTTTTTCTCCTCCTGACGAAGGAGGGGGACCCTGAGGGGGGGGTGACTTCGATCCGCTGGTGCATCGAATTTCTCCCCGCGCGCCCCTCGTTCTGCATAGTTTTTCTGCGGCTTGATGCGCCACCGGACCCAACTCCCCCCACCCATGTGGCCCCACCCCCCCTTTGCGAGGTCCCGAAGGAAGACGGAGCTCGTCAGGAATCGAACATCGGCGGTGGACAAACCTCACTTTAGTAAACCACTTTCGTGACAACGGCCTTGCGCTGGCTTTTCTGGCTGCTGCTACGGCCCTGCGCCGGCTTGGCGGCTGCTGGGCGCCCGCCTGCCTTCCTGCACCCTCGCTGTCCGCATCCAAGATCCACAGCGCGGCATCAAACAAACCCCCCTTTAGTAAACCACCCTTTAGTGAAAACTGCCTAGGACCGAAACCGACGGACCTGGACCCGCAAAAGTGACGGCGGCGACGCCCTCTCGCGAACGGGAAACGGCCAATTCGCTAATCGACGTGTCAGGGTAGGAGGTCTGCCAACCTCTGAGAAGAGGGCAGGACTGCTTAGTACAAGGCCAGGGCCCCTTTAGCAAACGCCAGATAATCGGGGTCGGGGTGGCTTGTCCCCTTGGCCGCACACCACCCGAGCCAACCGGCTTGAGCCACAATTGCCACGGATTCCCGTGCAGAATAGGGTGGCTTCGTATCCGACGTCGGGGACGGGCATGCATCCCATCCGAGCGAGCGCAGCTTCTATCTCGCACCCGGGGGGTAGAGCACCAGCTCATCTTCCAGCAGTGCTCCGAGAGGGCACACCTCCATTGACGAACCAACAACACACACCCATACCCATAGGGGGGTCGGAAAGGGCTATGGGTGCGTGTTGTCGGATGCGGGTCCCCGCTCGAACGGGAGCGTTCCCTATGGTCCGACAACCCGCACCCATACCCATAGCCAATCCTCCTCCCAACGACCCCCTTATGGGTATGGGTGTGTGTTGTTCGTTCGTCGTCCATATCCAATCCGGCTGCTGGGAACAGATCGACGCGTCTCGCTGCCAGAAGCTTGGCTTCTGCTGCCCGTACTGCCAGGCGGCGCATGGCCACGGTGCGCCATCCCGCCCTCGCGGAGGGTCGGAGGCACACGCCAACGACATCTCAACCCTGCCCAAGTGGGCCTTCCTCCCTCCTTTCGGGGAGACGTGAGACTCGGGCTCGGGGGACTCGGGTTGGCCTGACAGGGCCCTCAGGCACGCGACGAGCCCCAATCTGAAGCTCGACGCGAGCTCCCGCTGGAAGCATCTCGCGACAACGGAGCCGTCAAAGTCTAGGACGGGCCCGTCAAAGAGCGTCGGCAACCCCGAGTTCTGGTGCACTCGAGTCTTACGTTTCTGCACTTCCCATCGTTTCCCATATGTGCGGGGGCGTCGACGATTGATCGCGTCTGTGCGTTTTTCCCCCTCTAAGTTTCCCCGATCCTCGCTCAGCACGCTCGTCCTACCAGAACAGGATTCCCCATATGTTCCCATATCTTCTGGGTTTTCGCCCTCCCCCGCACTTCAGACAGTTTCCCACCTGTGCCTGGGCGTCGACGATTGATCGCGTCTGTGCGTTTTTTCCCCTCCCGAGTCTCCCCGGTCCCTGCTCGGCACGCTCGTCCTGCCAGCGGGGGGAGGGGGCGGGGGCATCTTGGTGGAGCCTGCGCGCTCGGGGAGGCCAGCAGCGGCTGCCGGGGCGGGCCGCCCTCTCGACGCATGTCTGGGCGGTCTCCATCCCCGCGCCAAGCTCGCTGGGCATCTTCGACAAGGCAACACACAGGCTCCTCCTCCTCCTCCTCCTCCTCCTCCCTCCTTCCTCCTCTCCCCCCTCCCTCTCCTCTCCTCCTCCTCCTCCTCTCCTCCTCCTCCTCCATCCTCCTCCTCCTCCTCCTCCTCCTCGCTCCTCCTCCCTCCTCCTCGCTGCTCGTTCTCCTCCTCCTGTCCCCCCCCCCCCCAAAATCCCTCCTCCTCCTGCCTTCTGCCTCCCAATTGCGAGCTCGTTCCTTATCGTCATAATTACCACTCCTCGTGTTGACGTTTGTCCCCATCCTCCGTTGGCTGGCACGCGCCTGCTCTCATGCGCACAGCAGCTGGAAATCTACCCCGTCCGGCAACATCAAATGCACATAACGCACTCTACAATCCACACCATGCTTGAACAATTCTCGGCTCCAACCTTGCAAACTGCAACTGCGACCCGTCAACACACAACATCGCAATACAAGAGATGGCAGGAGGAGGATCGGAGACGGCAACATGCGCCTGCAGGTCAACAACTCCGCCTCTGGTACGAGTGGCAAACTCCCCAATCCTTGATGGTCCCTGAAATCCGGGTACTCTCGTGGGCTCCTGCGGGATCTTGGGGCCCTCGGGCTCGTCGCGGGGCCTTCCCGATACCCCAGGAACGTGATTGGGAATCCAAGTATCCAGCATGCCGAAGTTGGGCCCAGGGGCTCGTCTTGAGCCCCTCTCGTGTATGGCTCTTGGGCCGTCTCTGAGGGCCTAGAAGAACCCAAAAGGCACCAAAGAGGGGCTCAAGGGACCCCCACGACTACCCTCAAAAGGGGCCCAAGAAGAGGCCTGTGGACGGACCCGAGAAACATGGTTGGGAATACACCACAATACGCCCTTGCCATCCCTTAAGATGGCCGCAAGACCCCCAAGAGGACCTCCCAAGAAGCTCCCCCAAAGGACCCCCCATGAAACCCTCAACAAGCCACGAAGAAATCAACATCCCGACCCGTTATCCATGACCCGCGCTATAGAGCTTGGCAAGAGCGATCACAACCGGTACCGGGGCCAGAACCCAAGACACCACTGAACACTCAGAGAGGCAATGCGTGGTACGTGACAGTCATTCTGCAAGGTCGGCGGCGGAACCGGCGACGATGACAGAACGTGCGCGTGAACGTGCCTAAGCACGCACACATGGGAAACCGCCTGCGAAGCTGCCGGCCCCGGCGACGATGACAGAACGTGCGCGTGAACGTGCCTAAGCACGCACACATGGGAAACCGCCTGCGAAGCTGCCGGCCCACACGCCCACCAACCTGCCGGCTTCCGCGCACCTTCCCAGGGGCTTCCGCGATGTTTCACCTCCTCCTCCTCCTCCTGACGCGGCGCAGCGAGCTCGGTGCCACGAGCCGCTCACTGGCCTTGGCGAGGAGCGACCCTGGGCACCCACTCGCTTTCTCCCCTCCCCTTCTCTTCCCCCCCAGCCAATACGATTGGGCGACACATGCGTGTGAAGAGGTGCCACCTGTAGCCACGACGGCTCGGCATGGCCTGTCAGAGAGGCGCCTGCTCGCTCAGACTCACGAGTTGCACGGGCCCCCTTCCTCCTTTGTAGGCAGCGAGAGAGGCGCGCGGCCTGTGACGAACGGCGTGGGCGTGGGCTGAAACCTGCCCCCTCCCCAGGCGCCCGCACCCCAGCACACCAGATCGGCGAGGGAGGCGGGGGTGGCGGATGGTGGGAGATGAGAGGCGCTGATCCCCGCAACGTTTATGTTGCCTTCATCGTACTTCAGGACGACATCCCAGATATAATATTTCGAGCACCCAGAAAAAGTATCGAAATAGTGTCGAACGAGTTTCACCTACCAGGGCCTGACACGTGAAAACCCTCAAGTTTCGTTGCTTTCTGGGTGATCAAAGCTAAATCAGGTTGGAACATCATAACGCTACGTGGGACCTGAGGGGGAGGGGGTTCGCCTTCCAGCCTTCCGTAGACTCATCCCAGCCGGCCCGACCCTCCGGGGGGAGGACGACGACGAGGAGCGCACAATTCCGCACGATGCTTCGTCAGCTGACCCGGCCTTGGAAGAGACGCCGAGCCGAGGCGGAGGAGGCATCAACGGCTAGCGCACGCGCTTGTACTATACCGCGGGTAGACCTGCGGGGAAGAAGGGCCCGCGGACGTACATGACTGAACGTCGAAAGTGTAAGATCAAGAGACAGACAGATACTGCGCGCTTCGTGTGACGTCGGGGAGGACGAGGAGGCGTTCAGTCAATGCCTCGCCACGGGGAGCCTTAGATGAAGATCGAGGACAACGCTTCCCTCAAATCTGACTGAGACATTCTGCAGGGCCCCCATCAGAGGCAAACCCCGAAGAACACGAATGAGAGGTAGAACAACTTGAGTAAATATCCGATTCCGGAGCTCCCCGTGGATTCCTCGCATCGGCGATGGGTCCCTGTGGCAGCGCCTCCGGCGCCGCCCCTGGCGCGCTCCGCGCGCCAGGGAGAAGATCCAGCGCCGATCCAAGAAATCCGCGCAGAGCTCCGAAATTTATGTTGAGCAACTTGTTCGAGCAGAGTGCCTTTCGAACAAGAATGCGCCTTATTTGTCGACACCCGCACCGGGCGGCGCATCGGGGTGCCTTCTTCTCCGGCAGCGTATCACGCCTCCCCCAAGCGAACACGGAAGGCGCCGACTGGACCGCCCACAATTCATCTACCCAGACGTCCGAGGTCGTGCTCCTTTCGCAACGGCGTCGCTCCACAGAGGTCTGGGCCCGGTCCTCGGGGCCCAGTGCGAGCGTCACTTCGCCACAAGGGCTCCCTCGAGGGCGCGAAGTTATTCGCGCTTCGCGCTTCGCGGTCCTCGTTCCTTCTCCTCCTCCTCCTCGTCCTCCTATTCTCCCTTTGGGAGGGCGGCGCGAGAGCGCGAAGTTATTCGCGCTTCGCGCTTCGCGCAGCGCGAAGCGCGAAGTTGGGAGCCCTAGCGAAGAAGCCTGAGGCACCCCGCAGAGGCCTCCAACCTGGGATCCGAGCGGATGCGGTCCGAGCGCCGCGCCGCATCGCCCATGCACTGGCCACGTCGGCGTGGAGGAATCGGCTTCCACGTCGAGCCGCACTGACGATGCAGAGGTGATGCGGCGCGATCCCAATTTGGAGGCCCTCCTACTCGTGGAGACGCGCAAGGGGAAGTGCGCGCACTGGCTGGACGTTCGCGTGGGGCCGAAGGCGGTGGGCTGCTGCCACGATGGCGTGGATCTCGGGATCCTGCCACGGCGCGAGGGCTTGAAGCTCCGCAGACTCCCCCGCTCTCGGCGTCTGTCTGGAGCACTCGCCGACGACGGCGACTTTTTTTCACCGATGTGCGCGCACGCATGGTGGTATTAACTCGACCTTCTCCTCTTGAGGGCTGCATTAAAGGCTTTGGCTTTGCCGATGCCGACGATGACGACGACGCCGGCGACGGCGGCGAGGGGAGCCCGCTACCGCGACCGCGCCCGCGACGAGGGAAGCCGACGGCGACGACGACGCCCACAGCCACGGCGACGGCCACGACGACGACGACGACGACGACGACGACGGCGGCGGCGGCGGCCACGACCACGACGACGGCGACGGCGGCCGCGACCACGACAACGGCGACGACCGCGGCCGCGACGGCAACGACCACGACGAAGACGATCACGACGGCGATGACGGCGACCACGGCGGCGACGAGGGGACAAGACGACGGCGAGGGCGACGGGCGGCGGAGGGGCGGGCGGGGACCCCTGCCGGGGTCGGCGGCAAGCGCTGGGGGCGGCAGCCCTGGAGAGAGCCGGCGCCTCGCAGAGGCGGGGTCATGCCACGTGGTCCTCCGACCGATGTCTGGCGGCGCCTGCACGGGGGGGGTGCGAGTGGGGACTTCTCAGAAGCCCGCCTGACTGCTGAGAAGACTTCTCAAAAGCTTCTGGGACAATCTGAAAATGCCTTTGCCTCCGAAGAAGCCTGTCCACCTTCTCAGGAGCCCACCCCCCGCCTCTCCCTTGTGGACGCCGCCACCATGCATAGCGGGGTGGGTTGGGAGGGGTTGGTTACCCTTCTTCGCATGGGCCCGGAAAATTGGGGCCCAATTCGGGGATGTACGACGGGGGGGCGTCCATCCACGCGAGGGGCCCGCACAAATAGATCCCTGGGGTTGTACCCGCGAGTACCCTATCAGCTCGAAGCGATTTTTCTGGGGAGCGCGGAAAAGTCTTCCTTTTGGGCCAAACCTCGGGCATGCAACAGCCGGGCGGGGCGACCCGGGCGCCCCCGGAACGCTTTCAACGAGGCTGCAGGAGAACACCCCGAGTCCTGGACCACATCCTAAACATTTGGAAACGCCATGTTTGACAGCGTGGGATCCAAACAGTGTGCTTCGAGCAGTAGATGTGGTGCAACACCTGCGCAACACACTTTATGTGGTGCACTCTATGTGGGGCAATCGACGAAGTGCAAAATTTATGGTCTGCAACGTCTGTTGTGCAATTCGTGTGACGCAATATGCGTTGTGCAAATTACAAGGAGCAGCGCAATTTTCACAATCGATGTGGGAGAGCACGCGTGGTGCAGTCTATGCTTCGCAACATACGATGCGCAGTCCAAATTATGTAATATATGCTGAGCAACCTCGGTTGTACGATGTGCGTTGTGCGATATGCGTGGGGCAACATACGTGGTGGCATCAATGTTGTGCAACATATGAAGTGCACCCGACGCGGTGCAATCAACGTAGTGCAATCGATGTGGTGCTAAACGTGTAATGTGTTCTACGTTGTGCAATACATGTTGTGTGATCGATATGTTGCGCAATGTAGGTGGTGCATTCGACGTGGTGCAACATATACGCATATATGTATATGTATATCTATATACAGATAGACACTAGGGGCGCGATCTGGGTTGCGCAACGCATATCATGCAATTTTCGTTGTGCGATTTATGCGGTGCACTATATGTGGTGCAACCGATGCGGCGACATCTATGTGGTGCACTTTATGTCACGCGGAAACGACGCGGCGACGGCGGCGACATGGCCGCCAGGCCGACGTCCACGCCCAGACGACGGGCGGCGAAAGGGCGGCGACAGCGGCGACATCGCCTCACCGATGCACAAGCCCAGACGACGGAAGGCGACGAGGCGGCGACGGCGGCGACATGGCAAACATACCGACACACAGGTCCAGACGACGGGCCCACACTAGGTGGCGACGGGGCGGCGACGGCGGCGACGTGGCCGCCACGCCGACGTCCAGGCGCAGACGATGGGCGGCGACGGGGCGGCGACGGCGGCAACACAGCCGCCACGCCGACGGCCAGGCCCACTTCCCTGGGAGAAACCCTAAGCGCCCCTAAAAGCGACGACGCTGGAAAGGGGGAGGACCTTCCGCGCCACGCCGAGCGAGAAGTCTGGGCGGCCTGGACCCCTCCCGGCCGACCAGTCTGGCGAGCTGCCCTCCGTGGACGCGCCCTCCTCCACCTGGCGCGCGGTCTGCTGCTCCGCTTGCCGGCAAGGGCCCGGCGGCGCTGCCGCCGCCATTGACGTCTGCGCCGTCGTCGGCATCGTCGCCACCGCCGCTTCGTCGCCACCTCGTCGCCGCTGTCGGTCGCCACCGTCGCCGCCGTCGCCGTCGTCGTCGGCCTGCTCCTGCCCCCATACACCCCCTCCTGTTCCTCCTTGCTGGGCGAGCTTGAGCGTCGTGGCTGTAGCGTTCGTGTGGGAAAAAGTGAATGCCGACGGAGGCCATGAAGCCCAATCAATTACGCCTGGCGGGCGTAGCAGAAAGCAAGATGGGCGCGAGAGGCAATGAAAAAGAAAACGGGCCCACAAAAGCACAGGGTATACGCCAGCCAGGCAGTGTAGGAGTGAGAAAGGAGACCTCTTGTTCTTCTTTACTCTCATCTCCTGCTCTTGCACTTGCTCCTGCTCCTGCTTGTATTTCTTCCCCTGCGTCTGCTGCTGCTGCTTCTGGTCTTGCTCCTACTCCTCCACCTCGTCCTCGTCGTCGTCTTCCTCCTCCTCCTCCTCCTCCTCCTCCTCCTCCGCCACCTCGTCCTCCTCCTCCTCGTCCTCCTCCTCCTCCTCCTCCTCCTCCTCCCCCACCTCTCCTCCTCTCCCCCACCTCTCCTCTCTCTCCTCTCCCTCCTCCTCCTCCTCCTCCTCTTCGTCCTCCTCCTTCTCGTCGCCTCCTCCTTCTCCTCTTCCAAGTATTCATTATCTTGCTTGCGTTGAGTGGGCTTCAACCCTGGGAGCGTAGCGTCTGTCACTCTCCTTCCCCTCCTTCTCCTCCTTCTCCCTCCCTCCCCTCCTCCTCCTCCTCCTCCTCCTCCTCCTCCTCCTCCTCCTCCTCCTCCTCCTCCTCCTCCCCTTCCCTCCTTCTCCTCCTTCTCCTCCTCCTCCTCCTTCTCCTCTTTGTGGAGCGCTCACACGGGGCAGGGTCATCCATTCGCGGAGGGGCCCCAGGAAGGACAACCGAAGATGAATCACCACCTTCTGGTCGCGTCGGGCCAGGGGGCCCGCATGGGAGGATACTCATCTCTTTCGAAGCGGGCAAGGGCTACTTTGCCGGTGTTGGTTGGCCCCCTCACGGTCTTGGTGCGTGCTGGTGCCACTCAGGGTCAGGAGTCTTTCAGAGCGTAACCATCCAAAACTCATGCACCACCACAGTCCACGAGCGTTGCGGAGGGCCCATCCCCATTGCTGGTGGTGCAACGCTTCCGGTTGGCCGCATCGCGCACTTCTGCGTGCCGGGCTCATCATCGGGGTATCAGAGGCTGCCAAAATCACAATGCCCCAGTAGCCATTACACTCAGAACACTCGCATGCCCAATTTAGTGCTTCCGAAGGACAAGTTGCGGCAACGGCGGCCGATCCTTCATCCAAGACGTTCCCGCAGAAGCACCTGCAGACATGATCCTACCAGATGCGTAGCTCGAACGTTGCCGCCAACTCGTGTAGACCGCACTGCTGCCAACCATCTGGGGATCTGGACAGGGTTTCCAGGTAGACGGGGATTCGATAAAGACCAGCAAATTCTTGAGGAGGTAGAAACCGTCACCAGCGTACGGTCGGACCTAAGACAGAATAACATCATTTAAGAACACGAGACCCTCCGCTGGCCAACACATAGAAAACATCCAATGGTAACCTCCCCAATATACACAATAACATCCAACGAACAGGAGGGCGCCCTCCCCGAACCGACCTCGATCGTATACCTCGGTCCGATGGTAATCGGACCAACCCCAGGGCAACTTCGGGCCCGATTTGGCCTGGATGAGGGCGGTTCCTGCTCTTGTGGGGCTCTTGCCCCTGCTACAGGGGCTGAGGGTAAGCCTGAAGGTATGGAGCTCCTCCGCCTCCTCCTCCTCCTCCTACTCCGCCTCCTTCTCCTCCTCCACCTCCTAATCCTCCCCCTCCCCCCCTCCCCCTTCTCATCCTCTTCTCCTCCTCCTCCTCCTCCTCCTCCTTCTCCTCCTCCCTCCTCCCTCCTCCTCCACCCTCCTCCCTCCTCCCTCCTCTCCTCCCTCCTCCCTCCTCTCCTCCCTCCTCCCTCCTCCCCCCTCCGCCCCCTCCCCGACCACGCGGGAACGCACGCGCGGGGAAGGAGACCAGGAAGGAGGCGGGGGGAAAGGGGAGATGTGACATCGAGGAGCTCTCAAGCTGTGATCTGTGATTGCTCAAAGGCTCACGCCGCCGAGAACAAATCGTGATTAGGACATCTCGGGGCACATACTTGGTCGATCTTTGCGGGACCTGGGGTCCAGGGGTGCCACAGAGCTTCTGTGTCCCTGAGGCTGTCGAGGGATGGAACACTTCCGTTGGGTACCTGCTGGTAGGCCGATCTCTTGTTTGATAACGTCCTAGATCTGGCAGGAAGTACAGCAGGGGCACGAGTAGCAGGGGACGGGAGGGGTAATGAGAACGAACACAGGAGGAACAGACGAACCTCCTTCCCACCCCTGCTCATCCCCCTCCTCCTCCCCTTTTCCTCATAATCCTCCTCCCCCCCTCCTCCCCCCCGCCTGCCGTTTCCCCTGCCGTTTCCCCTCTCCTCCCGACCCTCCATCTCCCCATCCCGACCCCGCACCTCCTCGTCTTCCTCTTCCTCCTCCTCCACCTCCTCCTCCTACTCCGTGTCGTCCTTATCCTCCTCCTCCTCCTCCACCTCCTCCTCCATTTCTTTTTCTTATATATATATATATATATATATAACTTCTCCCTGTCGCACCCCGAGGCCGGTCGAAGGGGCGGGCCAGGAAATTCGACTGAGACTTCCTCACCACGTATGACCCAGATGCTTGAAAACTTGGCAACAGTTTCGCAGATGGAAGGCGGGTCATCTTCAAAATGTGGTTCTCGCATTGGCGCCGCACGCATTCGTTTAAACACCATGCCAGGCTTTCACCACTTGCGGGCGGGCCCGTTTCAAAATGTGGCTCTCGCCTTAGCGCCGCGCACATTAGTTTTAAGACTCTGCGCATGGATTGAGACAAGGTGGTGTGCACAATGTGGCTCTCGCCTCAGCGCCGCGCATATTCGTTTTAACCCAGTTGCAAGAGCTTCACGGCTTGAGGGCGGATCCTTTTCAACATGCGGCTCTCGCCTTAACGCTGCGCACAGTCGTTCCAAAATTGTCCGAGAGTTGCGTTGATTGAGGGCGGTTCCTTTTCAAGATGTGGCTATTAACGCCGCGCGCACACTCGTTTTAAACATTTACAGAAGTGTCACGGTTTCCAATGGTTCACGTACCAACAATGGTGTTTTCGAGCGATTCGGGATTTCCAGGGCGCAGCAATTAAATTGAATCGCGGTGCCGAAGTCCCAGGGAGGGTCTTCTGGCACGATTCAGGATCGCTCAGACGTACCCGTCAGGTTAACTCGTGGCGTTGAAGTCCTGAGAGTCGTGCTTTGGTACGCTTCAAGATGCAAGTACGGTTGTCCCCCAACGGGACAATTCCTTGTGAAAGCGACCCCTTTTATGTGGGGCCTACGGAGAGGGATCTTGGAGAGAGGGTGTATGTTAGCATCGTTGATGGGTTTTGGGTTTACACTGGTCCTTCTTCTCCTCCTCCTTCTCCTCCTCCGCCCCCTCCTCCTAACCTCCTGATGCTCTTCCTGTTCCCTTCCTCCCCGTCCTCCTCCTGCTCCTCCTCCTCCTGATCCTCCTCCTGCTCATCATCCTGATCCTCATCCCCCTGCCCTCTCCTCCTCCCCGCCCTCCTCGTTGCCCCCTCCCAGACATCCGACTGAATTGCGACAGAAGGACTCCCAACCCGTTGGAAGGCGACCTCAGTGAGGAGGCTAAAACAAGTTAAGGAGAGGGGGGCCTTCTGTTCTGCAGATGTATTGAACCAAGCCGTCCACATGTATCACCTTTGAGGCAACGACGGGGACCTCGGCGAGGCCACGTCTTCATCGTGCCATTAGGGTTAGGGGTTCTTTTGCTCTCGATGACCGACGTCCTGGTGCTTTCGCAACGTGGCTCCGGAGAGGCCTGGGCCCCTTCCACGAGAGGTGCCTTTCTCATCCCGAGTCGTTTTGCGTAAGGTCCTGGAGCGGGCCTGGAGACCCCGAGGCGGACAAGGGCTAGAAAAGACATCCGTTGAACATTGGACCGCCCGTTCAAGCACTCCTATAGGCCTACCACGAGACGCCCTTAGAACAAACTGGTGCACTAAAAACAGAAACAGCGACACTGTTCTTAGAACGGAAACCCCACGTACAATTATCCTGGCGAAGAACCCGACCAAATCCACTCGTGGATACAGCGTTGTGGTTACCGCTTCCAGTGAAACTCCCTATGGGCACTATGAGGCCACGAAAAGCGCGAAGGGTGTGTCGTAATGCTGGTGGGGTGCCGCACTGGGACAAGGAGACCGCCCGCTGGTGCCTTCGGTGGAGCTCCTTATCGGGGCACGGAACGTGTAAGGGGTGTGCCAGAATGGGGCGGGGAGACGCATGTCGACCCTGCCGCTGGGGCCATCGGTGGAGTTCTCCATGCGGTGTGAAGCGCTGTACTGGGTGCGGGAGACGCATGCGCACCCTGCAACTGGGGCCTTCGGTGGAGCTCCCTATGGTCCACAAAACGCTGTGCTGGGTGGGAAAGACGCACGTGGACCCTACCATTGGGGCCTTCGGTGGACCTCCCTACGGGGCCACGAATCGGTGTACTGGGTGGGGACGCATGTGGACCCTGCCACTGGGGCCTTCGGTGGGGCTCCCAATGGGGCCACGAAGCGATGTAATGGGCGGGGCAGACACCTGCAAACCCTGCCACTGGGGCCTTCGGTGGAGCTCCCTATGGGGCACGAAACGCTCCACTGAGCGGGGGAGATGCATGTAAAGCCCTGCCACTGAGGCCTGGTGTAGCTCCTTACAGGGCCACGAAAACGTTGTACTGGGTGGGACTTCGGTGGAGCTCCCCATGGGGCCATGAAGCGCCGTGCCGAGTGGGGGAAACGCAGGTAAACTCTGGCACTGGAGCCTTCGGTGCAGTTCCCTCTGGGGCCACGAGGAGGTGGCTTGGGTGGGGGAGACGCATGCAAAGCCTGCAGCTGGGGCCTTCGGTAGAGCTCCGTATGGGGCCAAGAAACGTTGTACTGGGTGGGGAGACGCATGACGTTCGTAGAACATTCTCTGGTGGGTCTGCAGGCATGCCAGGACACGTCTCGCCACTGCTCGACTTCGTCGTGATTTGTTCCACGACGCGAGGATGTCAGGGTCCTCCCCCCCTCCGCCTGGCCATCGCCCCTCTCCCCGACACGCCAACGCCCTGGAAAAAGAAAGACTGGAGGCTTCCGGCAGTGTTCGGCCTGCCGGACCACGGGGGCCGTCAAAACACGGCTCGACGGATGCCAGACGTCCGATGTTCCCACACATCCAACGTCCGGGAAAAAATGAGGCGGGTTCTTGTTAGTAGTGTTCGGCCTATCGGGGCCCTTGCCGAGTCTTGGGATCGTCCATAGACACGACCCGGAATAAAAACCTTCCACAAAACCAAGACAGCGGATGTCTTGGCTGAGTTTTTCATGACGCGGCTCCCCAGAGGTCAGGACCCCTGGTATGAGGACCAGCTTTCATCCCGAGATGCTTTTCACCGTCCAGGGGGCCTGGCAGAAGCCCTGAAAGCTGACAGATGCGAGAAGCCGTCCGCTTCTTGTCTTTCGCGACGCGAGGATACCGGGGAGCCGCGTTCCCGTACATCCCGCACATCGGATTTCTTCATCTGCGGCTCCAGAGCACCCGATCCGCTTTTGATATGGCCCCAAGGGCAGGAAAACGAGCCCCAGAGGCCGCAATGAAGGAAAGACGCCAGGACTTCACAAATCATATTGTCTGCGATCTGTGTCGCAACAAGGTCACGATGCAACATCGCGGAAATCACGGACCCCATCTTTCTGCAACATGCTTCGAGCTGGCAGCTGGATCAATCTGTGATGGCCCCAGGGCCCGAATCTGGGCGAAAACGCCTGTCTGGTGCGAGCAAATTGCAGCGCCTGGATCTCAGGGGGCGTAGGATGGCGAGGTTAGGACGGGGCCAAGTCGAAGACGGATCCGTGCCAGAGCGTCCTGGAGCGCTCTCGGAGCGCCACGACACAACTCTCTGAGAAGGCCGCAGCGCCCGGTTCATCCTCCAGAGCCGCCGGATCTCAGAGATTCTCGATCTATCCTCATCCGAGTTGATCCTTGCCCTGGCTTCGTCTTAGGTCTATGTTGCTCCCATCGTACTCAAGGGCCAAATCCCAGAGATAGTCTCGAGCACCCAGAACCAAATATCAAACACACAGTCGAACGAGCATTGTCTCCCAGGGCCCGACGCGTGAAAACCCTGAAATGTCGGTACTTTATGATACTCGAAATTCTTTCTGGTGGTCAATACGGGAACGAAGAATGACATAAACATAGAAAACTCGGAGGTCTGCGTGGAGTTCTCGGATCCGCGTTGGACCCCCCTGGCGGCGCCTCCAGCGCCGCCCCTGGCGCGCTCCGCGCGCCAGGGAGGGGGGTCCAGCGCCGATCCGAGAAATCCGCGCGGACCTCCGAGTTGTTATGTTTATGCCATTATTCGCTCCCCTGATCTTAAGTCATGCCTGTCCCTCTAGAGAAGGAAAATTCAAGAATGGTTGAAAATAAGATAGGGAACATTTCTCTAGTATGTTTGATATTTGTTTTTGCAAATTGTTGGACTACTTTTTGTGTACAATCCACCTGTAGGGGGACATGCCCGACCTAACCCTAATCAATAGACAAGCGCGTTCGACTACTCGCAAAGTAACTTCTTGCAAATGGCCTGGTTCCGCCGCGGGAATCCATGTTCGTCTCGGACGTTTGCGAGCAGGCACTTTGCGAGTCGTTCGGAACTCGCCTGGTGAATCAAGGCTAGAGTAGGCTGGAACATCATCGACTACACGCAAGAGTGACCCTGGGTGAGAGTGACCTTTGGTGCGCGGCTTTTCGGGGGCCGCGGGGGGACCAAAAACGAGCGCGCGAGACGCAGCCACCGCATCGCGTTCGGCGATCGGGGGGCCCCATTGGGCCCGCACCAAAGGTCACTCTGGCAGAAGGTCACTCTTACGTGTAGTCGACATCATAATCTTTGCAGGGTCCCTGGGACACTCAAACAAATACACACACGTACAACCATATCTTCCAACATTCCCCATATCCTCCCATATTTCTACCCATGTTTCCTGGGTTTTCGTTTTCCCCCTCACTTCCCATACTTCTCCACCTATCCTCCTGGGAACCGACGATGCATTGTGCCTGTGCCGCAGCTGGCCGTGCCCGCGAGTGGCGCCGCCGGGCCGCTGGCGGAGCTCAGCATCGCATGACCTTCCTCCCTCTTCCCTCCTCCTCCTCCTCTCCCTTCTCCTACTCCTCTTCCTCGCCCTGCTCCTCCTCCTCCTCCTCCTCCTCCTCCTCCTCCTCCTCCTCCCCCTCCTCCTCCTCCTCCTCCCTCCTCCTCCTCCTCCTCCTCCTCCTCCTCCTCCTCCTCCTTCCTCCTCCTCCTCCTCCTCCTCCTCCTCCTCCTCTCAGGTGCCCTCGGGAGGCCCCCGGGCCGGGGGGCACCCGTGGGGCCCGGCCGCCCGCCTGCAGCAAGGAGCCCCGCTGGCTCTCCGACCTGGCCCGCACGGGGGGGGGCCCGTTGCGGTC